GCAAAATTCTGACACGTCAGAATATTTGGTTACTGCGGCTCATTATAATACTATCTGGAACTGCATGTTCTATAAACAAATTTAATTTAATCTAAACTATTAGCCATTAATGACAGCCATTTTTAGAAAATGTCAATCTTCATTTCAATTTTCATGTAGAGTGCACTTAAACTTTTATTTTGTATGTTCAGATTCATGAAGAGATCATTAAGAATGTAAACTTTACAAGTACCAAGTACAACATCAGGTGTTAAGAAGTGAACAACCAGATGGCATTCCAAAAGCCACTCTTCTGGATTCAGGGAACCTGAAATCTTCTGTAAATAAGCCTATAGAAAAATTAACTCATTATGTGATAAGACTATAAGGAGGAACATGGCACACTCTGAACAATCTCTACACAATTTAATTATGCTGAAGGCATAAATATAATTATCTTGGAATTTTTAAAAATTTTGGGCTAACAGACACATTTTCTGTAACCTCTTGTTTCACATTGTCCATTCATTCAGTGAACAGTAGTATGACCAACATATTTCCAAACTGTAGCGCACATTACCAAAATTACAACAATCGCAGCACTGTGCAACCCTTATTCTACGACTAACTTTAAATGTACTATACAGTTTGTGAAAGAACATATTTGTTCACAGAAGTAAACAGTACAAACAAGCATTCCTACTGAAAAAATTGGCAAAAGTAAAACGAAATAATTAAACAACCAAAATACACCATACATTGACTGAAACACCTAGAAACAATAAACAATTTCAGTATCATACAAATATTCATATAACCATCAACCGAAGGCAAATAGAAGCCAAGTATCTGCATGATGCTATACAGACAGACGTTTTAAGCCTGTTCAGTTATATTTGAAATTTTTTTTATAAATGCAATCACAGAAATTCCCCACTTAATGGTACCTGCACCTTGTCGTGGTGGTGGGGCTTGAGTACCTCAGTGACCCCAAGAGCTATGCTGGCGGTAGCATAGCTACTGGTAGGGCCTCCCTAGCCAGATTGGTCGAGGGGGAGAAGTCAGACTAAGACAGGTACCCTGGTCCTCCAGGTTGGGGGTTGGTCGCAAGGCTAACAACCTTGCACCGTAAAAATGAAGATGTTTCGAAACCTCAACCTCAGACAGACGGACCTAACAGAAGGACCGAATGGAAGAGGAGAATTGAGGAGGCCATGTACTGAATATGGACCAGAGAGCCATTGAAGAAGAGAATCACAGACATTAAATTTGGGACGACAAAGCTGACTCTGTGAAAATGAAAACAATGATGTTAATAACAAATAAAGTTACCTCAATTCTGTGGATAAAAATCTTCTTGGACACTGTCCATTGTCAAAAAAATAATAATTATAAAAACACAAAACAATGTGTGATGTTTTGAAACCTGGCTGCCTCCCACTGCAGGCAAGGTAAAGTAATACTATTTTGTCGGACCTGTTAGACAAATACCAAAAGCCAAGCAAAATATCATCACGAGTGAGCGCTGATACACAACAAACTAAACAAATGGCTGCACCGCTATTACTCACAAAATTGGGAAGGTGTACTCTTTGGAGTATGCTGACATACAAAAGGTGCTCTTCTTGTCATCACTGTTGCATATTTATTTATTTATAATATATTTAGTAATGCTGTTTCAGTAGCTCAGACTATACAGTGTTGAATGAGAGGATAATGGTGAATAATGAATTGGAAAGGATGTGGAAGGAAGCAGTCATGGCCTAATTTAAGCCAATATTCTGGCATTTGCCTGAAAGGACTAAGGAAACTCACAAAAAAAAAACCCAGCCAGGATAACCAGTCTCCAATCCAAGATTTTAACCCAGGACCTCCCAAATACAAAGCAAGAGTGTTAACCATTTGATTACAACGTTCAGTATTACGGTTGCATTAATCCAGTCTGAAGTCATAGTTATATCCTAGACCAGGGGTCGTCAACCTTTTTATACCTACGGCCCACTTTGTATCTTTGTTGATGGTAAAATTTCCTTACTGCCCACCGGTGCCCCATGTACTGCCCACCACCATGAAAGAGGTACAGCTTGAAGACTGAGTGATGACCGGTGGTAAGCCCCCGCCCTCGTTATGCACACTAAACTCGTGCCTTTGGCTACGGAGCTCATTCGTTGCTCCCTCGTCCACGAGTATACTTCGAGAAGTGTCCAGTGAATTATTATCTATATTCAAAAGTAAATTGCAAAAGTATATTTTAAAAATTCAAACTCAGGAAGTTGTTAGCAATGTATTCGATTAATGGAGGAAGAACAAAATTTGTAACAACGGACAAAAAACCCCACCGCCCACCATGAAAGCTTGAATCGCCCACTAGTGGGCGGTAGGGACCAGGTTGACGACCCCTGTCCTAGACCATTCTTGCACCAATGTGTTCCCAACCATTCCTTCAAAATATGTCATTCTTACATTAACATAATCCAAGGTCACTGTTGCATAACATTGGAAAACCATGGATCCCATTGGCATCCAACAGTGGGAACTTCAGTCCTACTGCTATAAAAAGTGTGACAGACACAGACAGACATGGACATGTTCTTCACTCATGCCAGAGTCTGACGAAACGTTTTTTAACTTTGGCACTTTCATGATCAAAGGATCTAAAAATTGCTCCATTTTCTTTTGTATTATCCTTAAAATAATACTCACATACTTAAACTTCAAAATATATATATAGAGAGAAAATAAAAATACACAGCTGTACCTAAGTTCTTGGCCGTAATTTTCTGGGCTGGGATGGAGTGTCCAAAACATTTGTAACTGTCCATGAGACCACACAGGTCACAACTGAGACCATAATTGGTATATTCACCAACACGAGAACCTCAGATCTCGGAATGTACGTAACTTGTTCTAACACAAACTGTAACCGTACAAATTATAAACAAATGCATGTAGTGTTTTAGTACTGTATCAGCATTTCATGTGTGTTTTCAAATACTGTGATACAGATAAAAAGGAACAACAGTCTTTGTTATGCAATTCTAATAGTTTTCTGTCATGACTGAATGGGTAACTGTCATGGGTATAGAACCTGATACTATAACCAATATGCTCTTTCATACCAATCAGAGTGCAGTACTCTCTATTGGAGATGACGATCGTACAGGTGTAGCTCCACCTCCCATCTTGGGCCGAGGCGATGGCGGCAGGTGGCTTTGTTGACAGCAACCCTCCTTAATTGGTTGAAGAGAGGGTGGGTTAGCTGATGGTGTTAAGGCTTCTGGTGTTGTGGATTCGGACGAACTGGGACTGCGGCCTGCAGAAGGAGAAAATTCAATTCTTTGCATTATATTTTGAAATTAGTGACATATGCAGAATAATTTAAGTACTGATCACATGCATAAATGTTTAAGCAACAAGACATTCAAGCAACAGTATCTATTTTAAAAATGCATGAGACTGCACAGACAAACATATGTAATTTTGACAAGCAGAATTCAACAGCACAAATGCTAAATACTGTTTGTCCACATGTATAAAGTTCTCAACTCTGGACGATGTATTTTCAGGAATGCAAATAAACCAAGAAGCCAGATGGGTGTGCTTATGGAGGCTGTGGTTCTGCACACCGAGTAAGAAAACCTTAAAGGACCAATTAACATTACCTACAACACATCCTTGCTGTTAAAACTGGACATTAATTACTTTCAACACACAACAAACCTTACGGTATTATGCAATTTACTGCTTCCCAACTTAAATGGGGAGAACCTAACAATCATACAACTAAACTGAAATCTAAGAAACTCCTCAATACTCATAAATGAGGAAAAACATCCAAGTACAAAAATTTTAAATGCAGATTTTAAAATACTTCACAATCAATGTTCCGCTGCACTTAACATAAAATTATATGTAGGAATTACTCTTTTCTGATCAATCTATTGACTTGCAAAATTTTTTATATTAGCTTTCTGTACAGTGGAATTTGCAGTGAAACCTGCAAGAGAGGTGAAGACAAAATCATCTGGAAGTGTAAGCAGGACTTATTTAAAGTTTAAAGACTTTGTATGACATAAAATAAATCACAATTACAGAAAATTTCAGGTGAGAAATAATACTTAGTGTTAAAGATCAAATGTCTCCTTCCGGGTGATAATTTCATGAACTTATTTCCATGCTGTAAGATAATATCAAGCCTAACAAATTAAAGAAAAAATGGTACTTGTGGGTTATCGGGACACATCACTTTAAAAATAGGTTAGGTTAGGTTAATGCATGTGGGTAATGACATACACTTGAAAGTTGACAACTAACGTAACCTAACCTATTTTTAAAGCGATGTGTCCCGATAACCCACAAATACCGAAAAAACAATTATTACATCATGTGATTTATAAAACTTTTGTTTAATAGACACAATTACCAAAAATCTTCAGCCATAAAGATGTAGATAGTATGTTCCTCTGAAACGTTGGTACCTGCAAGGGATCATAACCTACAAGACCATCATCACAAACAAGAACAATACACACTTAAACATAACTCTTCATGAACAAAATCAAGTAATGTAATGTTTAACATCAGCAATGACACTATATACCATCTATCCATTCCACCCTGTTTCTCTGAAATGATCCTTTGTAGAAAAGGATGATAATTCAAAAAATGTTCTTCCAGAACAGGCAATCCTGGAAAAATTATCAATATTTTTCACTTTACAAATTATACACTATGGTGTCCTCTTTCTTCCAGATAGCATGTTGTAAGCAAAACTGGTGGGGAGAGATAGAGAAAAAAAGATGCCCCACCCCCACAAAAATAAAGACATTTTCAATTTCAAAAAACAAGCACAGAGGTGCCCAAAACACTTATATAAGGCACATTTTACCGAAACAGAATGTTGTAGCTATGCACAGGTGTGTCAAAAAGACTTACACAACCACATATTCTCCCATACAATGCATCAAACAAAAACAAGATCAGCATTGTTATGCTATGCACACATTTCTGAACTCATTTAGAGTTTCTTTCATTTGCATAATAATGTAACTCACAATTTAAATTAAAATGAAAGTAAAAAAGCTAATTTTATACTACATTATACATGGTAATCAATTGAACAATGAAATATGGTTTTTCATCTGTTATTATTCATGGGCTTCCGTCATAGTACCAAAATACGCCTAGAGAAGACAATGTTCCGAAAATAATAAAAACGTGAGAAACACTACATATACCCAAAGCTAAAGTTACAGACCTGTGTAGTTGTAAATGTCAAACTCCAAGTCCTGAGGCAAGGGTAATCCAACAGACAGATGCATCGCCAGACCTTCTAGCCACACTTCCATTACTTCAAAAGGTGGCCTGCAGCAGAATAGCAGAAATCTTACTTGTGGTGGGTAACGAATGAAAACAGAGCAGAGAGAGATGAACAAAGAATATACAGAATCCAACAGATTCCTTCAAATCCAACATATGACTTCAAAAACCTTTCCACATATTTGACAGTTATGCTTAACTTATTATACTCTCTATTCTAGACAAGTACATGGCATAAAACTGCCACAACATACACGTTTCACCTCTTAAATTTTTTACAAAAAATAAATTTAAACAGAGAAACAGAATTCAAAATAAAAAACTATATTACGACATCCTTTCTGAAATTTTGGTTAAATTAAAATTCTTGGATCCAACCAATCCAACAAAGATAAATTTATATAATTGTGACTTCCACACTGCATCTTACTACATTATACGGATTCAATGTATTGTAGACCCCACTTAATGGCACCTGCACCTTGTCGTGGTGGTGGGGCTTGAGTACCTCAGTGACCCCAAGAGCTATGCTGGCGGTAGCATAGCTACTGGTAGGGCCTCCCTAGCCAGATTGGTCGAGGGGGAGAGGTCAGACTAAGACAGGTACCCTGGTCCTCCAGGTTGGGGGTTGGGGGTTGGTGGCAAGGCTAACAACCTTGCACCGTAAAAAGAAATACGTTTCGAAACCTCAATCAAGGCCTCGGACAGACGGACCTAACACAGGAACAAATGGAAGAGGAGAATTGAGGAGGCCATGGACCGAATACGGACCAGAGAGCCATAGAAGAAGAAGATGGTATCAGCAACAAAATATGAAGCCATGATTCTGATAGTGTCCTAATACTGCAAAAAATTGTCTGTTTATGTAACTCCTTTAACCAATTAAACCACCTACACCCTTAACAAATTATTTACTCACCACTACAATCAAGATGTGAAAATACCACTAATAACATCCATTGTGTCAATGAAGACTATCAACTCACCTCTTGTCTGGATTCAGGTCACAACAAAGAAAGGCCACCCGGTAGAACGGCTCAGGACACTGGCAACAGAACTTCTCACGGAAAACATGCTGATTCAAACCAAAGTCTGATGATCGAGGCAGATAGTCTGGATCAGCATGCACACGACCTATTATCTGCACAAAGCCAAATATTACAAGTAACTCCACAGCTGTAAACAAAATAAGTCTTCCAAAGAGCAACTGCCAATTTCAGCAATGACTCTGCAGCCACAATTGATGACAAGTCTTGTATTTATGAGTACGATGCTAAATGAAGCTTCCACCTTTGCAGTAAAACATCCAAACATCACCTATGCGCTTATGATTAATTTTAGTAAGGAGCTGCAGTACAAACTCAATCATTCAATACTTAAACACTGGCAGATAAGGAGAAGATAAAAGATGCTGACACCGCTGCAAAATGCACTTGGAAGTGTAGTTTTAATTTTACATAACTCACTGGCCTTCACATTGATTTATAGCAGAAACAAACTGATTGATGCAAAACTAATCACACTACAGATACACTACATATAGCAATAACTCATGGTTAACTGTATTTTAATAAATATTCACCATTTTCAGAATTATTACAAATAAAAGTCGTACACAAATTATATGTACACTAAGCCACTTTTGAGACAACTGATAAACTCTGATCTGAACAACATAAATACATTACAATCCCCTCAAAATTACATTTCATAGAAATCTGCGGATGGACAGACATGCATCCATTTTCATGCACATGCAAGGAATTAATAAAAATATAGTACAGTTCTGTAGCTGACAAAACTCTTTCTACCCACAATCAGGACCAACATACATAATTCTTACCTCACAGAGAACAATGCCAAAGGAAAAAATATCCACTTTCTCATCATATTTATTTCCCTTCATCATCTCTGGTGCCATCCAATAGGGATTGCCAACCACTGTGTATCGTTTCTTACGCTCACACCTTCGACTTCCAGTTCCACTACTGCCACCTCTCTTGTTGCTATAGCGACGCCGGTCTGCCATGTTGCCACCAACACCTCCACTACACGAGTTGCTGTTCTGAGAGATGATACGGGCCAGCCCAAAGTCTGCCACAACTACAGTCTTGTCCTACAAACAGAGAACAAGGATTCATCTTTCCACAGCACATCACCATCATAATTTAAAGCCATTTCATCCACCTGATGACAAAGTATACAGCGGTTAAAAAGTAAAATCAGACAAACAGTGTCGACCAGTCCTAAGTCTGCCGAGTGCCACATTATTTACATACAGAAGCCCTCAATGCATATACTGGAATTGCAATGCATAACTGAAACAATCTATTTGCCTTCTCAATGTATAATCAACTGCTATTTATAGAAAATAAGCGAATGTATATAATATTTGTATAGCAATTAAAAAATTCATACCTTTAACCTTTATCTTACTTGCGTTCCTTGTCGGGGACTCAGCCCTACACATGTTCCTTGTGCAGAACGTAAATACTTGCAACACTGTAAGGAGACTTGGCTACGTCTTTTAGCCTCTTTTAGGGGCTGCCAATATTGAATCACTTTCTCTAGGGTTCTGACAAGTTCAACCTGAGCTGACAACCCGGAAACTATAACCATAAAGCAATAAACTTTCTTTATGTCAAGTGGGTTTCGGTTTCATTTTCAGACCCCTATTCAAAGCTACTAACATTACTCGGCATGATGGGTGAAAAGAATGAGTATCCACTGAAGTACAGCGAAACAAAATTTTTTGTGCGGTCAGTAGTTCACAACCATGGCTTCCACCATGTCGACTGAGCTTCCAAAAAAGAAAGTAAAGTTACTAAAGCCTGAAGAAATACCAGAAGTTATTTTGGACACTGATATTAACTGCAGTTTTAAAAAATTCTGTGTATTCTCTGTTCTATTCGCATAAATATGGCCTTTATTTCGTCATTTTATCATGTTTACTTTGAATAATATTAAAGTTTTCCGTAGAGCGTGCATAAAAATTTAAATACCTGCAAAAAAACTCAGTAGGGCTGCTACCACTTTGCCATTTAAATGCCCATCATTTAAAGGTTAAGGGCAACAGCCATTGCACAGAATCAACTCGTTGCATGTAAAGCGAACACCTGTACTGTGAAATCACAGTAATATTGTGATTGACATAAGCAATGGATCACAGCTGAATGTGACAGATTTGCTCAACTGAAGTACGATTTCAATTTCAGGTGCTAAGTAGAAATTGCAATATAAGCCCAGGCTGGAAACAGCAATGGATTATGATGATTAAATAGTTTCACCTAGATGTGCCTTTTAAACCAATGTGAAGTAGCATGACTGTTTTACCCAAAATTATATTAACAATTTAATATAATCCTAAGAAAACTGCAGAGACATACCTCTCTAACGAGACAATTGTGAGAGTTGAGATCACGGTGAATGATGTTCATGGAATGGAGGTATGACATGCCAGATGCAATATCCTTGGCAAAGTTTACTCGCTGCTCCCATGGCAAAGCCTCATTCAGGTCATGGATGAGTTCCTTCAGGGTGCCACCAGAAATAAATTCTGTGACCAGATGAAGCTTCTTGTCTTTATACAACACACCAATGAAACGCAGCACATTGTTGTGGTGTAAGCTACGTAACACCGCCACCTAAGATCATAAATAGTTCTCAACTTAGAAGGTAGAATTGTACTTGTTGGAACACGTGTATTCATGAGTCATAAATATTGTGTAATAATATAATTTGGATTCAGTTCCTCTGCCACAGTAGTATGCTAAAGCAGTGTAAAAATGTTCATACATTGCTTAGAAGTGTAAACAAATGTGTTCTACTATATATCACTTCTGGATTTTCTAGATTCTTCTATTCATAATAATAAGAAATAGACTTGAATTGTAGTAAACAAAAAAGTGTACTTCACAAATTTAAGAACCTTAAAATATGAAAGCTACTTTTTCTTACATCATCTAATACTATAATAAAAAGAGATTTAGGAGAGTTTCATAAAATGTTTATCTGTGACATCTTATGATAAATTGAAGACAGGTGCAAAATCGACATTAAAACATGTTATTAAATACAAAAATTATTAACTCAGAACATACCAACCAACAGTCAAGGCACATCACACTGTAATCATTCGAGGAAATGAAACAAACCAGGCACTGAAACTTAACAAACTCAATATGCCACTTGCCTCTTTCAGGAAATTTTTCTGGGCCTCCTCATCTACCCGATATAATTCCTTCAGCACCATAACCTCATTTGTGTCCCGGTGTGTGACTTTGTACACTTGACCAAAGAAACCTTTACCAAGCAGTTCTCCCTTTACGAGGTCTGACGCTCGGAAGATTCGCTGGCTCTTGGGTTCTACTCGAAATGACCTGGTGCGTGAAAGGTCACATGTTTCACGCGTCGGAGGCGAACTATTTGGAAATAAACATCAAATTAAATCCATGAAGAGCCAGTCACAGTGGCTATGTGGTCTAAAACACAGGTCCTGACACAACTGAAATATGGACTAGGTTTGACCCATTTGCACAAATGCAAATCCATATATTTCTGTGTCTATACTGTCCTGCATTTGTAGAGGTCTTGTGACAGGCAGACCCATGTCCAAGTCCATAGCTATGAAACTAAGAAATTATGTCACATGTGAGAATAGAATATGTTTTGCTCATTTATATATAACACTTTTCTTTGTATTTGAAACATTTATCTTCAAGTGTGGCTATAAATTTTCTCATTTTACTAGTTTTCTTGTTCATGTTTCATAGCTATACATGAAAACGTCTGAGCTCCAGTGAGCATCAGACCTTAGACTGAGATTGTAATATTGCTACTCTCAATAAGAAATTAAAAAATCTGGTAATGCAAGATCTTACTTAAAGTTATTAGTAAATTTTGATCAAAACCAGTCAACACTATGACAATACAATGTCATAATTACAATTTTATATGTAGTCTGATTAACAGTAACTAGCTCAAAAACCATTCAGATAAAACTTGTAGCTTTTCACATACAGTATCTTGTCTTTTACTATCTAATAACTGCTTCATGTAACATACAATATTCATAACTATAGCCACTCATCAAATGTAGATCAATTGCATTCTTAATTATTTATGGTGCAAAATATTCATATTGATAATGGTTCATGAACTGAAAATAGAACTATAATGGCTCATGAAATGTAGGCACATTTCATTCTTATGTTATTTTTCAATACCTTCAGTTATGATGCAGATGTTTCATTTTAAACACTGTATTAATCTTTGTTACAGCTAATAAACTCAAGTGTGCAGGCATGTATTACGCTGCTTCTGAAACTAGCTTATTTGTGATATTCATGTCCAAAATTAGATTGAATAAGCAATAACTGCAGAAAGAAATTCAACATACTTTTAACCCACAAGTTTTCTCTTGAATTACGTTCTCTCACACCAATGTGGAAAAATAAAAATGACAAAATCAAAACCATAAATTAAAGCTAAGCACCATCAATGACACAGTGATACAAACGAAGGTGCAATACGCAATGTTTCATTAACATAACAAATGTCACAAAGATAAAGACAACAGACAACCAAAACCAGATTACTAATCTTGACTACCTTCCACCTGTATACCTTTTCAATGGTATGGTCTATTTCCTATATTTATTATTTTGCATAATACATTTATGATTACAAATGCATTTTTGACACTTAAAATTACAGGTGTTGAATAAAATGCCTACAATTACTACCAGTAACGTAATAATAATGTTCCTAACTCACCCTTCTAGAAGCCGAGACATAGAAGATGAGCGCTCCTTGCTGCAGCTGCCCTTCCCTCGGCGAAGCTGCCTACTGCGAGAACCACTGATGTATCCCTCATCCCGTCTCTTAAACAGTCTTTCACGATCGGGTGGATGTGTTCGTGAGCCACACAGCCCTGTACTAGGTGCACATGGAGGAGTGATAACTGATGCAGAATACGGGAAACTTGGACGCCGCCGATTCAGGGCGTCTGGATCATGTTCAATTGTCAGCTACAGAGTAGAAGACATTACTGTCAAAATAAACTGTCTCCTCAATGTAACAATGTGGATCACACATGAAACTATTTCAGGTTGTGTATCTACAAAATCATTTTAAACCTTATGCAAGATTTTTAAAATTAAATTAATATAAAACCCATGTTCTAATTAAAACCTGAGGGGAAATAAAATTTTGTTATATTCAGTTCAATCTAAAATTATTAATGCATAGAATTTAGCTAGTCAAGAAATTTACCACTTTTACAAAATCCAAAGCTGCAGGATGTAAATTATTAGAAACCAAATTAATACTTTTGATGCAAAAGTATACAATTCTTTACCTTTTTTATATTCTATGATTATACAAGCCTGCATCAACAAGAGAGAATATGCATGGTTCTATGTGTAATTGTTACAATCTGAAGGTTCTAACCCATGCCATAGTTCAATGACTGCTTACCATAAGTAACACAAAGACAGAACACAATAAATTGTTCTTGGTTATAATGATTCGTCATGATTTACAAGCAGAGTGGTGTGCAGGCACAGTGAGTGTCAATAATGGATTGAATTAGGATACAGAGGAGTCCCGGAAAAAATCAACAAGTGAGCAGCTGACAGGTCTCACTGGGAAAGGCAATGGTACAATGTGACCATGTGAGATGTACTGTATCCTTCTCTATTTGTAGTTTCATCCCAGTCAAGACCAGTTATCTCACTAAAGTGGAGTTCATCTAAAACTCATTTGGCAGACCGGATCAGTAGTTCATTGTCTACTGTCACATTTCACACTATGCTCAACAATAATTTCATTTATGTACAAATTGTATGAAAAATATAAGCAAACGACATACCTGTAAGACTGTGTCAGAGTAACGGATGAGATTCTCTATGTTTTCTATGGGTTGGTCTTTGACAGGGGTCCCATTCACCTCCAGGATTCGATCTCCAATGTGTAGTGACATAAGATCGCTACTCATATCCAATCTGAAAACAGACAGCTCATATGAACACCACAAATGCAATCTTACTAGTATGTGAACACTTGCAAACCAAACAACATGCCTTCTCAGAAATACCAGGGGGAGAACATATAACAAAAAAATACTCTCAACACATTCTTAAAAAACCCAAATATTTAATCTTTATTCATTTCCATAAATGGGGCTTGAGTACCTCAGTGATCCCAAGAGCTATGCTGGCGGTAGCATAGCTACTGGTAGAGCCTCCCTAGCCAGATTGGTCGAGGGGGAGAGGTCAGACTAAGACAGGTACCCTGGTCCTTCAGGTTGGGGGTTGGTCACAAGGCTAACAACCTTGCACCGTAAAAAGGAATATGTTTCTAAACCTCAATCAAAGCCTCGGACAGACGGACCCAACAGAGGACCGAATGGAAGAGGAGAATTGAGGAGGCCATGGACCGAACACGGACCGGAGAGCCATAGAAGAAGAAGAAGAGGAATCAGAGATATTAGCCTTTTATTGCTAAGGTTCAAACCATCAGCTATAAATATAAAATGTTGATGGTAATACAACCAGAAATGTGCAATCTGTAGCGTATGTAAATTAAATTACACCTAAATAAAGAAGCACCTACTATCATAACAAATGCCCATAAAGACACTGATTGGGGTGGGGTGGGGTGGGGTGGAACAGACTCCATTCATTACTATATGTTCATACAAACAACTGACAGGATAGGATCTGCTATTATCTGCACTAAAAAAGTTGTAAACAGTAATATACAGAAATGCCTATAAATAACACTGTGTTCCATTTATAATTTTAAGCTTTCCATATTGTTGATGAACATCAAAATGCATACTCCAAAATCAAGATGAAGACTGAAAATTAAAAATCTATAAACGCAATGCACAAATGTACAATAGTTTTTAAAAATATATGAATTGATAAGCCTGATGATGATGTGGTAAACATCGAAACATGTCGTCGAAATCAAAAGCGCTGTGATAAATGTAATATTATACGACACAGAAAAGCGCCATAAAATATAACATAATGCAATTTATATTGTAAATGTTATAAATAATTTTAACAACATTATTTTAAAACAAGTTTTGTGTATAGACTGGAAAAATAAATATATGTAATGATATAACACAAACATGACGCAATTAAGATACAAAGTATATCAATGTTTTCCAGCAATACGACAAAAAAGAACTCATAACTAACTTACCTTTCCTTCATCCAGGCATTCTCACAAATTTTGCTTCAATACTGAAACCAAAAGCTTTAACTTTGTCACCCACGTCGCAACACTATATTGCTACAAAAGCAAATCTGTTTCTATCTATAAATGTGCTTCTAGTACACTGGCTACAGGTGCAAACACTGCCAAAACTTATATTCAGCATTGCTCTCATATTCATAATACTTGCACTAGTAGCTTGTAGCAATTGAGTAAAATGACAAGAATTTAACAACTGAGCATGCAAACTCCATCTTACTTCAACTGCAGACAACCAGGTAGTTTTGCTAATCTAGAACTCCAAATCCAATACTCTGTTCTAGTCATTCTTTATATAAACTGAGAGTGCAGAATACGATATGTGAAGGCTATGTCCATAAATATATGACCAAGCATGAACTGCATTCATAATTGAAAGAGTCAATGATTATCATGGGTCCACTCTACATATTTTCATATTATGGTAAATTTAATAAAATGTGCTTTTGCACATACAGTATGACAAATTAATTTTACATTATAATACTAGGCCATGAAAAAACAGAAGGAGAATACAAATTTCTGATTGAATTATTTCTGTTGGAAAACCCAAGTAATGTGATAATCTACTCTCAAAATATTTTCCACATCAAGGTAACTTCTTATAGCCACGAATTTAAAATCTGAATATAGAGTAAGGCACATGAAAATGGATGTCTTATAAATGCATCCTTTTACTCCAATTTTAAAGTAAACAGAACACCTGCCTACAAAAATTATATATGCTGATTTTATAAGCAGTCATAATAATATACAACAAATATTTTCCACAAAGATTTTTATGCTGCTAAAATCAATAAAATGATAATCATTACACATAAAGTCAACTGTTCCCACAGTAAAGGCTAACTGAAAAGACCAACATAAAATATTCTAACAAAACTGCAAAAGAATATGAAAATAAAATTCAAAGTGGCAAGACAAAATGGCTGTGATCTATATGCATAAAAAACAATGGTGGTAGTAGTAGTAGTAGTAATTATGTATGTACTCTAATAAATTTGTTCTGCACATCCACCTTTCTCTTCCAAAATAAACAAGATTCCACAAGTTTACAAGACAGCAAAGCAATGTTGAAGTTCAATTATGTTTTCAAACTTATCGCTGTTTGAAAGCAATTAGAAATTAGAAATCTCGTGCACCATCATGTCATGCCCACAGGTCACTTCCTGCAAATCTTGGAACAGGCAACCAAGCATTTAGCTGAAAACATTACACAAATAGCAGAAACAAGCAGACAGTCAGTCAGGCAGATGAACCAAGTCTTTTACCTATAACGGGAGAGATGGCAGCACAATCTAAACGCTGCCTCAAGAAGAGAAACTGCAAATTTTCCCACTTTGGTGTGAACAATGCTGAGGATCCTGCAAATAACCGCCACTACATGACAACTCCATGGTGTTTACCTACTTATACAGCAACCAACATGAAACCTGAATGTCCCATTATGACTACTGTAACAGTTTCTGGATTATACCTCTCGTTGGCTACAGTAATTCTGGAAGAAAGGTCTTGCAAATCTAGCATAAACTTATTTGTGCTCACTAAATGTTATGCATCACTCCATTTTATAAAAGTATTTTCTTATTAAGTAATAAACTTATCATATATAATTTGATTCATAAAACTGTATAAAGAGAGCTTTGGTTAAGACATGCTGTACAGGAAAAATACAACTTTTATGCCTCTCTTTCACAGCTAAAACTACTCTCATAAGGGAGGATGCAAGACGATTAGGAAAACCGAGGATTTATTTAATAAGTGGATATTTAACAATAATTAGATGTGTATGTGTAACACACGTTCAATTACTTTCGCAGTAATGGATACAGTGATACTGGGGTCTGATCCAGTAAGTGGTATGCTCTAGAAACACAGTATTGTGTAACTAAGTATTATATCAAGACACAAACACTCCAATGCAAAAGACAAAATATAAATTAAACCGAACAAAAGCTTCATCTTACACAAATTTCAAGGTAAAAACTGAAATGACATGATGGGATACTGGGCCTAAAACCTTGTTCCACCTGCAAACCTATTATTGTCCCCCACCATAAACAAAAAGGCATCCAAAAGAGCATAAATTTCAATTTAATTTCTATTCCCCAGAATTTTGAAGATAAGTCAAAACACACCTGTAAAGAGGGAATGTAACTGTGATAATTATGTTTCTTTGGAGGCTCTCAAATGAGAGGCGAAAAATACAGTTAAGGAACAAAGACCTATAAATTATACAGCAAGATTCTTTATGGTGATAAGTCATTTTACATTAAGGAAAAATGCATAGTATTTTGACTGGGCATTAATGTTTATTAAATACTTACTCAGAAATGCGGAGACCACGACAACCATAGGGCTCAGTTGTAACAGGAAGACCCCGGGCACTCTCCACACTCAACTTAATGCCACGCTGACCATCACTGGTGGGTGGAATCTCCACCAATCGGATTGAGTGTGGTTTGCGAACAAATGGCGTGCCTGATGTCTTGCTGAGAGGCTGCATCTGACGTTTGTAACATGGTCCACTGTAGAAAAAAATGTTTACTGTATATACTATATAAATCAGTATATTGATAGTAATATAATAAAGCAAAGAATGCATATCAATAGCACACACAAACACATTTAATATATAAGATTTGAGGTTTTCACAGTGGTGAGTATGAAGATTTCTGTGTAGTCTGGTAGATGAATGTCATCGCCCTGATGACGGAGGCAGTATGACCTCTGAAACGTTGGTTAACATCGACCAGACTACACAGCGCAATAACCCAGAAGACAGAAATCTTCTTAACATACCACCATTTAAAAATTGAAAATATACATATACATTTTATATTTTTGTGTCATGCAAATGGGTGTCAGAAAGTGAAAACCTTCACACCACCTGATAATTATTTACTATAGTTCTAATTCTGCAAATTTACTCTTCCTACTGAAAATTTACTGAAATATACTGCATACACATTTTATGTTCAAAACTACATAGAAATACCCAATTTTGCAATCACTCCTATGAAAACATAATCCGTTCATATGTATATGAAATTTCATATTGTTTGATTTACTTTAATTAGAAAACTCAGGATGGCCAGTTTCAAGACCCCAAAAATACAAAGCAAGAGGTTCAACATACTAGACACAAGACTCAGTTTTCAAGTTACACACATGAAGAATAACTCACATAATAATTGTAAGATGGAATACTAACCAGTACAATTTGGAACGTTCCACCAGAGCATATGACTCTCCATCCCCAATGAAACCACCACATGACGTGCAGCAAAAACATTCTGGGTGGAATTTGTGATCTCCAGCCACCATTACTGGCCCAGTAATGATCTAGTAATATGATAAATTGCTGTTAAACATCAGATCTCAAGTCTTAATTAAATCCAATAGTTATGGGCTGTACAATTTTACACAAAATCAAAAGAATGAGATTATATACATTAAGAACATCAGAAACATTCATTCATAGCAATTCAAAGTCATTATTAATAGAATTAGAACTTCAGTTTTCTATGTCAGAAAAAACCCTGCACAATCCATTGACACGTGAAGACACACGCCTTGAATTTCATGCTGACAAATCCTACCTTTGTCATAATAAATTATCGCATCCCTGTAAAATTTGAGATTTTCATGGTGATGTATCAATTATCTTCTAGGTTTCTGTACCATGCAGAATTCTGGCCAAAGTGCCAATGTTTCAGAGGAACATACTGCCTCCATCAGTATGTTCCTCTGAAATGATGACACAACCAAAATACTATACAATCAGATCATCGATACCACATTCTTCTTCCAATGCAATTTTGAATAACATGTAGGGCCACAGTACTTTGCAAATGTTATCACTGAGTAGCACTTAGGGCACCAGACTGTGATGGATCTATTTACTTTCCATGTGAGACAGACTTATTATGATGCCATTGCAGGATTGAGGTTATATACTGTCAATGTTACTATCTAAACAAGGACACATTGATTTCTATCCACTTTAAAACAGATCACAAAAAATATTGTGTGAAAAACTTTGAAGAAATGCCTTTGTTTGATATCACTGTACAGCTTTAAGCATATTTACTTTTTCATACCTGTCCACAGTCCTGGCATGACTCTCCATATTTTGTCCAGTAATCATCCTTACAAAACAGTAGACCATCCTTTTCGAAATACCAACTTGACAGTGATGCATCACATGCTGAACATCTGAAACCAGAAATATTTTAAAATTATACAAGTAGTGATACTGCACAAGGAATTTCAGTATTAACATATTTTAATTTAAAATTCTATATGGATCATGGGACTCACAAGTCAACCAATACCTACTACTGACATGGTGAAAATAAATATAAGAATACCCAATTCTTACATGCTACGTGACTGGTTAACATACAGATCAGTCATGATTTCAAGCTATTATTACACTGCGCTATAAAGATTACTCTTCTTTTCACTTTCACACATATTCATGCAGAATGATTCAGGAGTCTGCTGATCTCTGTTGAGTATATTAATTATGTAACTGTGGGTGTACAAAGACCTGAAATTATAATCTGGCAACAAAATCCCTGTATTTCCAGTTCAGTTGATGACAGTGTTGTCCATATAACAAGTTATTTGGTATCTACTAAAATTTATTTTCTATAATTTCTTGAATGATAGTTTGAAACAATAACTTCTTTTTGTTCTTTGAACAGTTTACTTAAGAATCAAAAGAGTAGCACATGTTTTTAGTAGTATAAGGCAACAGTACACACAACAGGAAATGTCAAAAATGTTCTATTGAATGTGTTTACTGAACTAACCAGTAGGAAGACCATGGCTATCACTCCCTAGATGAATGTGTTGAAAAACCTAAGAAATCATTACTGTTAATAAAATGTATGATCTTCACATTATTTTATTTTATCATCTACATCATTCCTCAGATGTTTCTAGTTCATGTTGGTTGTCTGATATTCATGTGCAACTGTCACTTAATATATATTTATTGAGACAAATGAGCAATTGTTCTTAAGTAAGTATACTTTTTTATTAAAAATCCCCGGCACTAAATACATTAGGATATGCCACCTTTAAATTGCAATTCCATAATTCTCTTACAGATTTGTTTCTAAACGGAATCCAATTCTTTGTTGGCAGAACATATGATAAAAAAATTTAAAAACCTGTTCCAACAAGTAATGATATCAAGACACTTTATTCACAAGTATATTTCATGAAGCACCTGAAACATTCCATATGCCATTCCTGATTCAATGCTTGGATAAACTCTTCCTCATCAAGAATGTTGAGACACCCAGCACAAACAGAAGATTCCATGGAAGTCCCATCAGTTGCTTCCTCTGACAGAATCAAAGAGATCATTTGTTACAACGCAATCCATCAGGATCATGGGACAGAGAAACTACATCTCAACAATCAAAGCAAATAATCTACAAAACTACTCTGATTCATCCTTATAAAGCAATTTCCAATGAGTTTTGGGAAAATGACAATCAGTTTTGTACGAAGGAATAACAATAATGATGTAATGTGACAATAACTTGAGTAGTTATTCATTAATACATTTATCATAAAATGATTTAATTTTAAACAAACAATTTTTCTGAAACATGGCAACTTAAGACTGGACGCCCACTCATGACAGGCTAGTTTTAAAATAAACTTGTTCCTCATACACACAAAATAAACGGACAGCCAGCAGAACCCTTCATATAACCGAAAACGAAAGTACAGAGTCACAATAACAGCGCATTTCTATAGCGCCATTATTAAATACAGTACCATTTGTAGCAGCTTCTTCCATTATCACATCACATACATTTAAACCGGAAATAAGCTCGAATTTACCGGAAGCATGGTGCCGTAAGAGAAATTACGTTATACTTTTATATGAAAAAGTAGTTACAACTACACCAATATTTGGTTCATGGCAAAGATAATCGCTTAAGAGCAATGAAAATACACAAGCACTTGCACAACATACCATGCCAATTCTGTTCTTCCCCACCCCCCCAGATTCTTATTTCACACTGACGTGCGGAAATTTCACTGCTGAAAATAGGATGCCCACATGCCAACCCAATGGTAATTGTATAACACTGATATACTGGACAAAGTTTCATGGATTAGCCGATTGGAAAAAATCAGTCCATCAGAGGCCTGGATAATCTAACCTAAAATTGCAAAGGCATAGGGATATCCAAAACAGCACAGGCAAGGCCAACTAATAACAATAGGATTAACAATGACAACATATTTACACTGTTGCGCAACTCCTCCGTGTCAGGCACGTTAACCATGACTGACACAGACAGACAGGTATGGGCTCATTCACTTTACAGCATCAAAAAGGTGAGATGTAGTTATGCATGTATTCACTTAGCTCAGGATAGGGATTAAATGTACCTGTGATAAAGCTCAACAAGCCTTCAGGTTCAATATAAGGCATGAAATTTCTTGACCAGCTGAGCAACTACTGTTCTCTGAAGGACCACAGAATTAATCTAAAAAGGCCAAAAAATAAGGTATGGAACACTTTTAAGAGAATAGATCAACACACTCTATACCTACTACAGGGAGCAGTCCTCCTTATGAAGCTGATAATCACTCAGTAAGCTAAACAACAGGAACCTGTTACAGGGTCCTATAAAGGACCAGCTCACTAAGAAACTCAGATATCCTCCTTTTGTAGAATAATGTGGGGTAAATAATCACACAGCACAGTTTAATTTCATTTAATATATTAATAATTCACAAAAGGATCTACTTTTAAAGAAGTACAAATACAGACATAATAAACACTATATTAACACACATTTCTTAAATGCATGGTACATGGGAGTACAAGTCAAACTAGTTCATCATTATATGAACATTTGAGCAATGAAATTTTAGTTATTGTGGATATTATTGTATCTATGAAAGAACCAGGGGTGGAGCATGCATATTTACTATGTTAGCCTGGCTAAAAACTGTAAAAAGAGATAAAACTTGTAGTTCAGTGATACTCCATACACTGGAACACACTAGAACCACATTTCTCGATTTTAATCATATAAACTTTTGTGCATGTGTGTGCTGTGTTCAACTTGTAATTGTGTGTCATAGAATATGAAGTGTAATATACACCCAACTTTCAAAATTATGACATATTGCCTGTCAGAATTATGAAACTCTTTCAAAAATATCATGCTCCACCACCAGAAAGAACTCCATATAAATTTTCATTTTCAGCACTTCATATAGAAAATTTACAATTGTGAAAACCAATGAACAAAATGGAAGTATCTTAAATTATTTCAATTAATTTGTTATGATATGTATCCACATACAAACTGTGCAGGGAAGCTGAAAATGAATTAACAAATCATGCTCCGATTCCAGTCTTCTTGAATTACCCATGAAAATAATGTTCTGTAGAGCCAAACAATCCACTTTAATCCACACCAAAGTGCTAAATTAAGACTAACATGAAAACATACAGTTTTACATGTAACATCTGATATATTGTTTGAAAGTATTTACTACTAATACACAATAAATTTTCATAGAAACATCATTCAATCATTTTAAATACTTCCAAAATCTCATTTTAATATTTATACTGTGCAAGTTTATATATGTCAAAAAAGTCACAGCTTCAAAACATTTCTTAGCAGCACAGCTGCTTTTATCAATATCAACAGTGCAATATACTACCATGACATAGAAAATATAATAGTCATCCGAGGTAAAACGAGGTGAAATATCAATAAAGTATCCCAAAGAGTTTGCTACATTATTTTAAGTATCATTATTATTAGCACAATTGACATTCACTGTTGTGCAAGAAGTGAAGCAGTGATACTTGTATACAAAATAATTAAAAAGGAATGCCATTATTTAAAAAAGACCATTAATCAGTTGAGCAAGTTGTAGTTTTGTACAAGGCCGTACAGAAGAAGAAATTGTTGTCATGGGAAATCATCAGGGTTGCCACCTCTCTAGCATTTAGTACACAGCTGGTGGCTTTAGAATTTTATCCATCTCTGGTTACTTCACGTAAATCTATGTACCATATCATCTTTACGAAGAAAACAAGAAAAAACTGATTAACTCTATCAATGCTAGGATTTTCCTTTGCACAAGAACAGACTTATGTTGACTTTCGGCATAAGAAACCACCACCTTATGGGCACATTCATGTCTGCCTGTTGCAGTCTTCAGTTGGCCTCTGCGACTAGGCTACCCCCGGAGCTTCCCCGAGAGGCAACACATATTCAGGATGTACCCCAAGGGTTCCTCCCCCCAAAGATTCCACCCCAATTTTTGCACCAGAGAGGCTTCTTCCATGGGCATTTGCCCCCACCCCTGATTTGCCTCAATTTGAGGATTTGCACACAAAATTTGCTCCCCTGAGCCTTGCAGTGACAAGAATTAAGAGACCCCTAGATTTCTACATCTTATGTCAGATCAACCAAGCCTTGGAATACACTCCATCTCCAGGGACTGTACACCTGGTACCCCCCAAACACTTGCTCACAAATGGGCCTGCAACCCCTGGGACTTTAATACATGGCCCTTTCCCTGAGATATTAGCTCCCTGGGGCCTAGTCCCCTACACTTGCTGCTCCAGGGGCTCTGCAACAAGGCTTCTTCTCCTGTGCCTAGTCCACCTGGATTTTCAAAATTCATTGCTTTATCTTCAACGGGCTTAGACATCAGTGGGCTTCCACCACAATGGGTTAGATCACCACTCGAACTACCCACCATGGGCTTGGTCACACAAGGGGATAGGCCATCTCTTCAAACTGTACCCCAGGGAATTT